GGGTCTCGAACCCACGGGCTCAGGCAATCCACTCACCTCAGCCTCCCAAAGGCACGGGTTTACAGGCTGAGCCACTGAGCCTGGCCTCTGTTTCTTTCTGAAAAGGCAAAAAGGACATCTAGATATCATTGTTTAACATAACAACCAACACACATTGAGTATATACCAGGTGCCAGGCTCTACAGTTGGCATTTTACCTACATCATCTGATTTACTGCAAGGGGTGTAGAATCATAATTTTACAAATAAAAAACAGGTGCAAAGAGGTCGAGTACTTAGCCCAAGCTCACAGAGCTAGCAGCTAGCAGAGCTGTATGCTGAAACCATCTCTGATTCTTAAACCCACACTCTTTCTTTTTACAAGAGTGCTTTCTAAAAAAATCTTAAAGAACTTCTTCATGTTCATAATTTAAAAGGGTCAACGGCTTAAAGAAATGTTTAAGAAAAAGAGAAATACAAATATTTTAAGTGTTGATAAATACAGATGTATTCAGAATCAAATGTTGTATACCATCCAGGCTTGCTGTGAAGTAGACTGAGACAAACACATACAGGGACAGATAACAGAAATACTTTTAGGTCAGACGTAAGCCCAATTTCAAATAAGATGTGGCTGTGGAATTTAGGAACAACAGGAGCCTGACAGAAAGCAAACAGCTCAGGTCTGGGAGGTCTCTTCCACAGAGAGGCATCAAGAACTCAGGGTAGGCAAGAAAGGACAATAGTTTGCTGAAATCCAGTGCTGCGGTGACATTCACTGATACATTTTCATTCGGTAGAGGTACTATAGAAATCTCTGCAAGAAAAAATATAAGTATTGTAAGGGAGCTGAGCTAAAGCAAGTGCAGAATCTGAGGAACAGACTTTTCAAGTCACTTACGCTAGCTGATGTCATGGAAATAGGGTTGCCCATATTTAGAAAAGTTCACAGCAGGCAAGAATACTTGCAGACTCCTGCCACATATCAGGGGATGTCAATCACCACTATGTTTTTGTACAGTATGTGGTGGACAGAGAATAAGGCTGCTATTATAATGAGTTTATCCTGGATTGGTCCCAGCATATAAAACAATAATAATATTATAAGCCAGTTCTGAGTTCTGCACTTTGTCAAGCAGATATATGTTCCCCACCTTCCCCCAAGAGGGCATTTGGCAATGTCTAGAGACACTTTTGATTGACACCACGTGGGGGGAAGGGTACTACTGGCATCTCATGGGCGGAGGCATCCTACAATGCACAGGACGGCCTCCCATAACAAAGAATTCTCCAGCCCAAGAAGTCAGTAGCCTGGAGGCTGAGAAGCTCCGGACTGGAGGAGGCTATTGCATTTGTGACAGGAGGGGTTTTGGTCTCTGCCCTTTTCGAGTTCTCAACTCCTCAAAAGTCAATTCTCAGGGACCATCGCTTCTTGCAGGAGAGGCCATCAGGAGGCCTAGAACGAAGACTGCATTGTTTGTTTGTTTTTTTTCATTCAAAACAGTAGATCGACCCGTAGCTCAGGGATTAGGTCCCTTCGGATGTCACTGGCATCCCTGGACGTGTCTGACACCAACACATCGAAATCCAGGACCCTTGGGCGCCCCGGTTTCTGCCCAGGTTTGTTTCTTCCCCCTCAGCCACGTGTGCTCCCCCGTGGTGGAAACAGCAACACACTTCGGGAAGGAGTCGTCCTCAAAACGTCATTTATTTAGTCTAGATGGGGAATTCTGGTCTCTAAAAACTGGAAAGCTGTCGATTCCCAGAGGCTGGAGATCGGACGCGCGAAGGCGTGCTCCCTGGGGAAGCTAATCACGTCGAGTTTAAGACACGGATGAGGCAAGGCAGGAGGGTGACGGAAACCCCCGTCCGGCCGATCGTCTGCGGCCGGAGCCTCCCCGACCCTGGCCTTCCCCCCGCCCCCGAAGTAGGGGGCTGCCGCGCTGTGTCCCTGGGGCCCGTCCCGCCGCCCGCCTCCCTGGAGAGTCAGGAAGTCCCCCTCTCCCAGCCCTAGTGGCTTCTGAAAACTGAGGGTCCCGTGGGGAGGGAGGGGGGCAGGGACGGCGGAGCGGCCCCGGGCCGTGGGAAGATGCCGGGCAGGCAGGAGGCGGCAGGAAGAGGCGGGACTCCTGCCTTTTGTCTCGGTGGAGGGCCGGGAGCCGGGCCGCGGGCAGCCTCGCGCCAGACGCCGCGGCCGCGGGAGCGGGCCGGGGAAGGCTGGCCGCGGTGGGCGGGGCGCGGCGGGGCAGGCCACGCCCCCCGACGGGGCTTTAAATGGCGCCCCGCGCTTCCCCGCGGCTCTCCGACGCCCCTCGCCCTCCCTCCGGTTCTGCCTCGCTAGCTCCGCCTGCGGCGCGCGCTCCCGCCTCCGACTCAAGTGAGTAGGGGCAGGGGGCGACTCCACCGAGCCGCCAGCCCCGGCGCAAAGGGGTGGAGGGGTCCCCATTGCCTCTCGGGTCTTCAGGGCGCCGTGCGGGCGCGACCCTAGCTCCTTCGACATCCCCATTGGTGCCCCAGCCAGGCTGCTCACCCCTGCGCCCGGGTTGCTCCCTCACCTTCTCCCCCCCCCCCACCACACACCTGCCGGTCTCCCCCGGGCTGCCCGGCCCTGCCCTCAGATCCCAGGCCCGCGGGGCAGGTACAGAATCCTGTGGGACCCTTGCATTTCCCTGTACCGGTTTCTCGGCGGGAGAGGCGGGGTCGTGAGTTTCGCGTTTCTGCTCATCCGCCTTCCAGTGCCTGGGTCCCCTCCTCCCGCGGCCGGGTTTCTCTCAGCTAGGGATGGGGGTCCGCGTCTCAGGGTCCCCTCTGCCCCGGCGGTGGGGATGGGGCTTCTGCGGCTCGTCTAGCCTGGAGTCCCCCCGCTGCTGCCGGACAGTGCTCCTGGCATCCCCATTGTTCAGTGGTGTCTGCCCACCAAGCACCAAACCTTCAGGGTTGAAGGAACGGCAGTGAAATGTCCATCGCTCACTCCTAGCTTTTTCTGGAACTTTCTACAATTCAGGTACAAACAGGAATGCAAGAATGCTTGTTTGTGGAATTCTGCGACGGGTCCTGGAAAATCACATTCTGGGTCCCAGAGCTGGATTTGAGAACTCCACGTCGACACCCTTGGGGGCGGGGGGAAGGTTTTCTGAACCGGCCGGTCCCCCTCCCTCTTCTAAGCCAGGACGTTTGTTGAACAAACTTTGTTTAAATGGTTACCGAAATGTTTAACTTGTTTTATTTGCAGTCTGCAGACCAAGGGCATTTTCACTTTACAAATGCTTTTTGATATGGAATCTCTGTTTGGGGTAGTACTTTTTAAACCCAGGCTATGAAAGTAGTCTCTTTAGTTCTTGACTTTTCTAATTAACCTGTTTTAAAGCTCTTCTTATAAAATGCCAAGAATTCAAATAGGACAACCACAAAGTTGGTTACACTTTGACTCACATTTATTCAGGAAAGAATTGAGTGATGAATTTTGAAAGGGGGAATCTAACGTAATTTCAGAACTGCATACCAAACTACAAAGGATTTTCTAAAGTACTTCCTGGTCTTCCCTCCATACCTCCTGGGTCGTCACTGTAGTTGATTGCCACAGATACTTTATCAATATTTCTCAAGGCCTTTTCTCCTGCAACCTAATTTCCTTAGCTCTTCTGGTGCCATGTTAACCAGCAGGCAAGATCTACATCCCAAGAGTCTGAAACTTGCTCTTGGGAGCCTGGGCCATGGTTGAAAGAGAGCCAGTATCAGTTCATTGAATGAAAGGAGAGAGAGAATAAGGTTGCAGTTGTAGGAAACAAATGGAATTTGACTCAAACAATAGAGGTTTATTGGCAGATTTAATCTAAAGTTTCTATTAAAATGTTTTAATGGATTCCCCCAAATGCATTCAACAAATATCGATTGATACTGGTGTATGCTAAGTACTGTGCTGAAAGCAGTGCTGATTGGAGGCCTGTCCTGATGAAATTGCAAAAGGGGTCCTTGGATTTGGATTTGGGTGAGATCATATTTTATACTAAAACAGTAAGAATTTGGTAGAGAGGTCAACAATGAAGAAGGGTGTTAGAAGCCTGGTACCAGGTGCTGCTCTGCCCCTAAATAGCTATGGAGATCGGGGTCTCTAATTTTTCTGCTTTATCAAAAATGAGATAAATCAAATGAGCCCAGGAGTGGGAGCCCCCTGTGAGAGAGAAGGCAGGGCATGCCTAGAAGGGCAGAATTGAAGCCCACCAGGCCCAAAGTCACATCCCAGCTCCAGCACCCATTGGTTTGATATCCTTGGGCAAGTTAACTTTATTCTCTGACCTCAGTACTTCATCTTGTAAAATGGGTGTAATAGTCTAACAGTGGTAGGGCCTGTTGATGCTTGTACAAAGTCTGGCCCAGCCTGGAAAAGGTTTCTTATAATTAGACAAAGTTCTGCCCCTTGTTGAATATATGGAAATGGCTATCAGTGAAAGTCTCTTCCAGGAGAGCGCTGACTCACACTTGAACTGTTTCTCCTAGACCGCGCCTGAAGGCTAGCTTTATTCCTGTTGCATACTCACAGGTTTCCTCAAGGCACTGGATGCGGGCTGGTATTTGCACAGCATCCGTGGGTTCTGCTGGGTGGGGATCCCCGGACTCCATTGGAGCTTTGAAGACCTAGGTGGGGATTTCTGTTTTTGTATCGTGGACCTCTTTGGCAGTCCTGGGAAGCCTTTGGACCCCTTCTCAAAATGTTTCTAAGTCCTAACATAAAGTGCACAGTACCAAGCTCATCAATTCTGAAATTTAAAGGAATCTGTGAACTCTGGGTTAAGAATCCTGACTTAAGGGAGTGTTTCTCAGTCTGGATGGTGGAAGAGCCAGGTACAATATCTGATTGCTAAAAATTTTATTGTAAGTTACAGAGGTAGAACTGGTAAAAGTATTCTGCAAACCATTTGCAAAGAATATCAGGTTCCTTGCTTTTTGTTTACAATCTCATTGTGCCAACAATATTATTAATTGTCTTTGACTAATAAGAAAAGAACAGGCACCATGTAATACATTAGGGTCGAATGACTTCCCAGTTCACTATAGAAAAGAAGGTTTCATGATGGTTTCACAGGACTTCCAAAGAAAAATAAGAAGAGGGAATAGTGCCAGGTGTAGCGGCTCACGCCTTTAATCCCAGCACTTTGGGAGGCAGAGGTGAGAGGATTGCCTGAGCCCAGGGGTTCCAGACCAGCCTCAGCAACTTGGCAAAAACCTCATCTCTACAATAAATAAAAAAATTAGCTGGATGTGGTGGCATGTTTCTTTAGTTCTAGCTACTTGGAAGGCTGAGGTGGAAGGATCGCCTGAGCCCAGCAGATGGAGGCTGCAGTGGCTGTGAGCATGTCACTACACTCCAGCCTGGGTGACAGAGAGAGACTCAAACGGAAAAAAAAAAAGAGAGAGAGAGAGAGAATTGAATCTTCATCCAGCACACAGTGGTTTAGTTTTAGCAAACCATCAGTCAAATAATTTTGAATTTGAATTACGTTGGTATTCATTTCTAAGTTGAATTGGTAATTTTGTTTTGGTTTCATAGTTATGACTCACTAAATATCTTTTTGTGTCAGCTTTCCTACTCATGTAAATTGGGAATCGTGATAATGCTTACTTCAGTTGTTATGAGGATTAAATGGGTTGATTTAAGCAAGCTACTTAGCATAAGTAAAGCATATATTAAGCTGTAGAGAAGTATTTGTAATTATTATTACTTGTCATGTGGCAAGCACTATCCTAAGTGGTTTACATCTCAGAACTGCCTTATGATATAAATAAATGAAGATACATATATGATATAAATGGAGATAACCATTTTTAAAAGGAGAAAACTAGCAGATCAAATAACCAACCTATGATCATTTGGCAAATAAACAGCAATCTTGGCATATATATCTGGGTCTGACTCCATGAAAAAAATCCCGCAAATATTAAATTGTTCAAATAGTTAAATGTCTTGTAGTTTGCACAGATTGTGGATTGCTGTGGCAGATGCTGGGATCAGGGTTACTGAGCTTATAGCACAGTTACATTTTAATTACAATATGGGATTTGGCAGGTAGTGATCCAAATCTGTGTCAAAGATATTTGCTGTGCTCCAAGTTAAACACTTCAGTGGTAACAAGATATAGACTTAGTAAGAATGATGAGGCTGAGGTAAACATAGGCACATTTACTGGATTGGAAGGGAGATTTCCCTCTGCTGTGAGGTTACACTCCTAAAAGGTTAGCGGAAAGGGCTTTTGGGCTGAAAGTAGCAGTGTGGGTGTGAGATTGGCACACACAGGCCACTTACTGCTGCTAGTTGGACAGATGAGAACTGAGTGGAGAGGAAGGCGAGCCTGTGCACATAATTTGGTAACTCAATAATTGATAATTCTCAGTGGTTTGAGTGGTCTCAATCCCTAGTGTTCTTTGCAGAAAATCAGATATGGGAGTTTTGGGAACAGCCTGTGGATCTGGAGTCAAAACATGAGTCTGATTTGCTTCTTTGGAGATCAGTGACATCAGCGAATCTCCTAACTGACTGAGCATGATAGCCATATTCAGGCCACAAGGGCTTCTGGAGGAAAAGGAAGCCAGGGTTTGTGGAGTATTGGCCCTTTGCCAGGTACTTTACAAACGTCATCTCGTTAAATCCTTACAGCCACCTATGAGAGTTCTTTTCCATTTCCAAGTTACAGCTGAGGAAGTTGAGGCTCAGAGGTTAAGGAACTTGGCCAAGATGACAGAGCTACAGAGCTGATAACTGGCTTTCAAACTTACATCTGTCTGATTCTAAGCTCCACACTCTTTCTATTGCACCAGGAATGTCTGAGAGGTGGCACATGTACTGCAGTTCCCGTGGCAGACAATTATTAATCACAATATTCCTAAATGCAGAATTGGGACTGAACTTCAGAATCTTTCCAATATAGTTTCAGGAATCCATTATCAGTGAATCTGCAGGATGAAACGGTTTTGTCATGCTTGTAAAAGTAAACATGCAGACTTCTGAAAGCCCTTTCTATAGGCCTCTGTATCATTGGCTATAAAGAGGGACACAAAAGAACCTGGCATTTATTTTTTAAAAATTGTGCATTCTTACATGCTTACACTTTAGTCATTTTCAAAGTATTCGCTATTTCATGCAATACACCAATTGAAATGCCTTTTCCACTGCTCAAAACAACTTTTGAACTTGCCAGTTTTGACACCTTTAAGCGCTCCTGCCATTTTTGTTTCACCTCTTCCTCATTAACCTGTTTTAATTTCTACTTATTTCTCTTTTTATTTTTCTGGTTTTTTTTTTTTAAGTTTTCAAACAAAGTTTATTAGAGAGAGAAGGGAGAAAGAAACAGAGACATGGCAGAGCTGGCATGGGCGAAAGAA